ATCAGAAAAACATGAAATCTTGCTTGATTTAATGTCATGCCACCCAAATGATGTTGTAAAGAAATTGGCATGTTTGACGTAAGTTTGGACACACAATCCTTACAAACTGGAGCAAATTGCTAGAAGGTTCATGGTTCCGAGAGGGAACAATGCATGTTTGATGACGAACGAGAGATAGCTTCCTCTTACGGCCTTGAATTTTTTTTCAACATCTAACGTGCACTACTACAACTCTAATGTGAAATTTTGGAAAATTCTAGGGGTCATTTGAGCTTTCAAAGACATTTAAGTGATTTTCTAACCATTTAATGACCGTAATTCAAATTTGAACTACATCTACATGCAATGCCTAACCAAAACGGTTTGAAAAATCATATATGTGTACTTGTGTGCGAGTTAATTCCATGTGTAGTAAATTAGAAGGAATTTTCAAACATATTGGTCTCACGACACGGACACATGCATACGTATGCATGGAGTGACATGGCATTTTAATTCAAAAAATAGAAAAATGATCAGAAACACATGAAACCTCGGTTGATGTAATGTCATGCCACCAAGATGATGTGGTAAAGAAATTGGCATGTTTGACGAACGTTTGGACACACACCCCTCACAAACTGGAGCAACTCGCTAGCAGGTTCGTGGTTCCGAGAGGGAACAATGCATGTTTGATGACGAACGGGACATAGCTTCCTCTTACGGCCTTCAATTTTTGGTCCTACATTTAACATGCACTAATACAACTGTCATGTGAAAATTTGGTAAATTTCAAGGGTCATTTGACCTTTTAAAGACATTTAAGTGATTTTCTAACCATTTAATGACCGCAATTCAAATTTGAACTACATCTACATGCAACGCCTAACCATAACGGTTTGAAAAATCACATTTTTGTTTACTTGTGTCCGAGTTAATTCAATGTGCAGTAAATTCGAAGGAATCTTCAAACATATTGGTGTCAAGGCATGGGCACATGCATGGAGTACATGCCATGGCATTTTAATTCCAAAAAATTAAAAAATGATCAGAAAAACATGAAACCTTGCTTGATTTAATGTCATGCCACCAAGATGATGTGGTAAAGAAATTGGTATGTTTGACGAAAGGTCGGACACACACCCCTCACAAACCGGAGCAACTCGCTAGAATGTTCATGGTTCCAAGAGGGAACAATGCATGTTTCATGACGAACGGGAGATAGCTTCCTCTTACGGCCTTGAAATTTTTTCCACGTCTAACGTGCACTACTACAACTGTAATGTGAAAATTTGGAAAATTTTAGGGGTCATTTGACCTTTCAAAGACATTTAAGTGATTTTCTAACCATTTAATGACCGTAATTCAAATTTGAACTACATCTACATACAACGCCTAACCAAAACGGTTTGAAAAATCATATCTGTATACTTGTGTGCGAGTTAATTCCATCTGGAGTAAATTAGAAGGAATTTTCAAACATATTGGTGTCACGACATGGACACATGCATACGTATGCATGGAGTGACATGGCATTTTAATTTAAAAAATAGGAAAATGATCAGAAACACATGAAACCTTGGTTGATGTAATGTCATGCCACCAAGATGATGTGGTAAAAAAATTTGGCATGTTTGACGAACGTTTGGACACCCACCCCTCACAAATCGGAGCAACTCGCCAGAAGTTTCGTGGTTCCGAGAGGGAACAATGCATGTTTGATGATGAACGGGAGATAGCTTCCTCTTACGGCCTTCGAAATTTTTCCTACGTTTAACGTGCACTAATACAACTGTCATGTGAAAATTTGGTAAATTCAGGGGTCATTTGACCTTCTAAAGACATTTAAGTGATTTTCTAACCCCTTAATGATCGTAATTCAAATTTGAACTACATCTACATGCAACGCCTAACCAAAACGATTTGAAAAATCATATTTTTGTGTACTTGTGTGTGAGTTAAAAAATTATCAGACGATGTAAATATGTGGTGTTCAAAAAAGAAAATGTAAAGATCTGGCAAGACAACCGGCCCCCACACGATTGGAAGTCTATCCCGCGGCTCGAGGTTTGGTAGGTGAATGGCGGGGATCATTAATCAGACACGGTTCTGCATTGGAAACTGTCAGCTATTATGTTCACACATGGATTTTGGCTATTATGTTCACACACGGATTTGCTACGGGAATTGTGTGTAATTCAAAGTACAGTACTCGTAAATTCCGGCGACCGGCATGTGTACTGTCCCCGTCGATCTAGATTCCGGCCGCCAATAAATACTACCTTGCTCACGTTGTCCCGCCTGCATTCTCATCTACATCCTCCCCTCGCTCGCCCTCTCTCTCTCTCTCTCTCTCTCAAATCTCTGCCATGGCGCCGCCGGTCTGCCCACACGCCGACGAGGAGTCGCCGCCCCCCGAGGATGCTCACTCGATTAGCAGTGACGAGAACCCCTACGCGCCACCTGACGAGGTTGCGTCGGACCCCCCAACTTTGGATTGGTTTTGGAGTTAGTACAATCTTTGTTTGTGGAAGTCGCTCCCGCAGGCTGAGAAAGCCAGGCAAATGGCGTTCAAGAAGGAGATGGAGGAGGAGGAAGCCAAGTACCAGGCGGCCTGTGAAACCCATGATGCCGCCTGGAAAAAGGAGGCAGCGGAGCTTTGGGGGCGGGAGCGTCATCGTGCTGACGAGGTGTACGAAGACGGGTACTTCGCGAGGACGGTCATAGGTGTTGGGCGCCTCGTCGCTGTGTGGAGATGGGCCGATAAGCTCCAGCGTGCCACCGATGAGGAGCTCCGATGGGCACCCAATGAAATGGTAAGATCCGCCGCGCGCGTCCACCAGCAATAGGCAGATCGGTACGTCAAGCGCTGCGAGGTGAAGGAGTCGGAGTACTGCCTCCGCACTAGGAAGATGCCGTGCACCAGGGAGCTGCTGGCAAGGGGCTGCCGGAATACTGGCCCCAGGAGGGATATTTGTTTTAGTATTGTTCGTTTTCAATTTTAGGCATTGTACCTACTATTAAGTATCATCACGTATATGTGATGATTATATATATATATATATATATATATATATATATATATACATGACAACTATTCTGCAACCCATTCCTGAATAAGCTATCCAGGAACCGTTCCTAACTGCACGAGAACATAGCTAACTTTGCGAACTATACTAGTTAACTATCGGGCGGACTTTTTCTGGCATCGTTTTCTCGCACTATTTTGGGTCGTATTTATTTAACCGCTAATCGGATTGATGCAATTGTTATACCGTTCGATAACTATTGAGAAGGAGCAAAAAACTCATTTTGATCGTTTTCTGAAAATCGATCCGGTTTTTAAACAAAATTCAAAAAACCGAAAATCCATCAAATGAGTTTTCAATATGTTTGTGAAAGGAATTTTCAAATCTTTTGTCGGAATGATGCGTATCATATACCGTTAGAAAGGTACCGATTTGCCCGAACTTTGGCATATATACCACGTTTTCGGATTTGCTACGGTTTAAGAGCAGTTTTCAAAAAACAACATCATTTTCGACATTTTTTGCCTGAACTGCTACAGTACACGCTAACTGCTCACGTGGAATAGCTAACTGACATATGCTGACAAGCTAACTCCTGAGACTGAAGAAAATTGTTTTTATCTTCTATACTTTTATCGCCAGGTCAAGTTAACTTCTGGGAGTGAAATAGCTAACTGCCAGGAATCGCAACAGTTAGCACTAAGTTAACCGCGGGACTGAAAATGTTTTTTTTGTTTTTTGATTGGGTCACAGTAACTGCGGGTATGAAATACCTAACTGCACACAATGAGCAAGCTAATTGCAATGGTTGATAATACTTTTTTGCTTCTTTTGTTTTTAATTCTTTTTTTCTATTTTTTCCATGGTCAAGTTAACCACCGGGACTGGAATAGCAAACTGCCGGGATTTAAATAGCTAACTGCCAAGGATTGCGGCAGTTAACACGGAGTTAACTGCCAGGATTAAAAATATTTTTTACCTCATGCAAGCAGGGGCTTGGCAAACAAACTGAACCCTCTAATTAGATTGCTATTTTTTGTACCTCACACAAGCAGGGGCTTGGCAAAATCATAGTTGTGTGCATCGCTTAACTGCTCCATGAAACTGAGCATTGGCAAACTGCGCACCATGGATCACACCGCTGGCAGCATGGGAGCAAGAGCTAATTGAGCAGTGATCTCTATTTCTTTTTTACATAACTATCAGTAAAGCAAACTGCTCCTTGAAACTAAGCTAACTTATCCATGAAACTGAGCTAGCTGTAGAGAGGTCGCTCCACCAGTAAATCCCCATCAGGGGTCCTGCACCTCGTCGATCCCCGGTGCAATGGAGCAGAAGTTAACTGCTAACAGGAAAAATAATATTCACTGGATCCCCAAAATAATAAACCAGATAGGGATGTCTTGACTCTGGACACAACATTATTTTGCAAGTAAGAACTGAACATGCTAGCTATAGATAACCCCCAAATAATTGCCAACTACAGAGGATGGGTCGGAGGAGTAGAAGAAACCCAAAAGCTAACCGCCGGAGATCCACACCATGAACCGCTCGAGGATGAGACCCATCTAGGACATGAAGAGCAAGTTAACTGAAGGAGGCAAAGAGTTTTAGCGCTACTGAAGTTAACTGAAAAGCAGGAAGTCGCCACTGTAACAAGCTTCTGCGCCTCCACTAGAACGATGACATGGGGAAAGTGTCACCGGAGCTGGAGTCCGGGATGGGCAGGGCTATGTCACCGGAGTGGGAGTAGGCCACCCACCATGGGCCTAAAGAAGGGTGCGCTCCACCCACCTCCCCGCGGCGTCTAGTTAACTGCCTTTTTCGTTATTGAGTAAAATTTTAGTTGTTGTGTACTCTAACTTCCATGTGTATTTAAACCTAGTTGCTTTATCACATAACTGCATTATTTAAGCTAACTGCCCCATAGTTTCTAACTCCCTTATGCACTCAACCCTAACTGCATGATGGTGGAACACCTAACTGCTGATGTTAGCAGAACATCATTTTTGTTATCTTTTTTTGGGCGACAGAACAACGTGCAGTTCTAGCTTTCTCACAGTTGTCTGTACAAGTATCTGCACATGCCTTATCATTGCTCTGACTAGACTGGTCTTCTTGAGCTTGTGGATATTGCGGACATCGTGTTTTAGGCCTTAGAACAAAGACTTGCTCGAGTTCTCGCTCCCAGTCATCTTGAGGAACAATCTTAGTCCAGCATTCAATGTGATCATCACTTTCATTGGCAGCATCCATGTGTTCATCATCATCTTGTGCAGGTCCATCATGCACCTAATTTATTCACAAACACAATTGCTTTTATGAAGTTTTAAAGTAAAAATATAACTGCGGAAATTTGAAAACTCTCCCCTTACGCAAAAACAAGTAAATTGTTACACAGTTAATTGTCACACTCTACCTCATTGATTGTCTCCAGGACGCTTGATTGGTGTTGACGGTTCTTCAGGCGCGGCATAGGTTCGCAATTGCATCCAGTAACTCTTTCATTCATTGGCGCCTGTGGTGGATACCTCGCAGTTTGCACCACCACTGGTTTTAAAACGTAAACTGGGTCATTCTGCACGGGAGAGTTTTGCATGTCGACACATACAATCCTGCTAGTTAGGTCATCATCGTCTTCATCAGGTGCCATTTTTTACTACAAGCAGTGAAGAAAAGTTTTCATAGTTAACTGCGCAAATGCAACCAGAAGCCCACAGAGCTAACTGAATGGTTTCTCCAACAGATAACTTCATATTTCTATACACATCACCAAACTGATAGGGATGCAACCAGCTAACTCGACGCAAAACTCAAGCACAAGCAAAGCACATTTTCTAGCTCAAACTACACAATCCCACAGAGCTAACTGAATGTTGTCTCCAACATCTAACCTCAGATTTTATACACATTACCAACTGACAGGGACTCAAACCAGCTAACTGCACGCAAAACTCAAGCACAATGCTAACTGCATAATGCAACTTGCAGATTTGCCGTCGATGATTCAAACAACAAACATTTGGGGGAATCAAAGAAGAAGACGCAGTGAGAGATCCAAAGCTTATTAGGGGGTGGAATCCAGAAGTGATGATCTAACTGGGAATCGATGGCCACCATCATGACGAAGCGGATCGAATCTAGAGCTCGAGGCGGATTCGAAGCTACAGGTTAGGTGGGGGTTGCCACCGCTGGTGCCGCGCGCTCCCTCGCGCCGGCTATCGCCACCACTCGCTCGCACGCGGTGGATTTGAAGCTACAAGTTAGGTAGGGGTCGCCGCCGCCGACGTCGCGCGCTCCCTCGCATCGGCTATCGCCACTGCTCCCTCGCGCGAGGCGGATTCAAAGATATAGGTTAGGTGGGGGAATCGATGCTAGGATCGATGGGATCAGACGTCGGATTTGTAGGGGTGAGGTGGGACGCCGGAGGGATCGGGATTCGGCTCGGATCCTTTGTCTAGTTTAAGGGGTTCCTAAATAGCTTAGTACACGCATTGAAACAGAGCAATACTATGATTGTTGTGAATACAAAGTTATTCACGTCGAAACAACTTTTTAAAATAAAACGCGTCCATGAGACCATGACCAGCAGCCCTTGCCCAGGGTAGCTCTTGGCTCTGCCTGAACTCGTGAAAGCATTCGTCCAAGCGGTCGACACGCTCGCGATACATCTGGAGAGCGATCTCGAGATCCAAGTTGGCTATTTCATCGGAGATCACCATCTCGAGGATGTGACGGCCATGTTCCTCTACTGCGCCCAGGTGAACACCTGGGCCAAGGAGGCGGTCGAGCCTACGGATCAATGTGTTGGCATCCAGCGGGCCGCGGACAAGGCGAACGGCGGCACCCATGCGAATGGCGCGGCGGACGTCCCGTGCAAGTACGGCGTGGCCGGCATCTGGTGCAAGTTTGGCGCTGAGGGCTCTGCCCACTCCTGGCGAGGAATGGGGGTACTGATGGGACGTGTATCTAGCTGCGACGCCGTGTTGACAACAGACAAGCGCCGATGGATCCGCTCTTGCTGTGCGGCGCGCCGCGCCACTCGCTCGGCGGCGCTCCAACGGTCTCGCCGTGCAGTGAGCCGCACTCTATCGGCACGGACGCACCTAGCTTGCTCTGCGGCGCGCCATCAATCATGTTGTGCGGCGAGCTGCAGCCTATCGGCGCTGACATGTCTATCCTGTTCCGCGGCGCTTAAGCGCCATGTTCCAAAGGTCTGCTCAACCCTGGCGATGACACGCATCACAGCGTCGTCCATCGCGTTGCTGGGGAGCACCTCGGCCTCAACGGGCCGTGCCGCCTGGTCGTTTTCCTCGTCGACGAGGTTGATGGTAGAGGCGGCGCTTTGGTGGGTTGGCATGCTTGGAAAAGGTGGATGTGCTACAGGCTGTGCATGTCGCCTCTATGCGTCGCGCGCCCCCTATGCGCAATATAGCAAGGTGGCAGGAAACAGGTGAGGAAATGGTAAGAAACGGTGGCTTGTTCATAAAACGCCATCAATTAATGGAAACTTAGTATCGAGCTAGCACAAGAAGTAGATGATGATCAGATGAACACAGACCACACTAGGGATCCCGTCGGTGATGAATTCATCAATTCCAAACGGTTGAATACTAGCAAGCGTTTGCCCACAACACACACGACCTATTCCATCACAAATAGGTCGGATGGATCAACTGTATACCACGTATCGCATATTGTCAAAAAGTAATGCGGTAGACCTTATTTAATATGTGTTAAAAAACAAGGACCTTGAGGTTAACCTAATTTAATATTGACACAACTTCCCATCCAGTCACCCATATGATGGCTGCTCCAGCCTGAGCACACTTAACTTGATAGTTTTCTTACATGAGCTACTGGTGGAACAGCTAGTCCTTGCTGACAGGAATGCCTCTTCGCATCCTTATGACGTATCCGGATGACCTCCCGTCCCACAATGGACAATAGATTTTGTGTAGACAGAGCATATTACATACATCTTATTAGAAGCAATCGTCTGCATTATTATCGGTCTTCGCACACATTTCTCATTACAGGCCTGTTTGCCGCGTATCACACACATCTTGTTATATTGAACTGTTTCTGTTCTCTTGCCTAATCACAAACAGTTCATTCGAGTGAACCGATGTACATTGCACACACCTTGATCGGGTTGTCCGTTTCTTTTATGTTTCCTAATCACAAACAGTTTATCCGAGTGAACCGTATGTTATGTATCGCACACGCCTCCATCTAGCTTCCCGTTTCTTTTGTGTTGCTTCATCGCAAACAGTTCATTGAACTGAACCGTATGCCCTTCATTGCACACGCAACTAAAACCTAGACCGTGTTTGATGCATTCGTCATCGCAAACGTTTTACACATTTTTGACGGTTTTCATACAGCACCGTTTGCGATCATTGCATCGCACACAGTTTCTCGAAGGTTCTCTGATCGTAGTGTCGCATTAGCAGCATCATGCATTAGTGACCCCCTGTAACTCACACGCATATTCCAGTCGACAAGCCTCAGGGCACCGAGACGTAGGGCTGTTACCTTTTCCAAGAGGGGCCTGAACTCGTAAAACTCGTGTGAACAACCTCGCCCTAGCTAGGGCCTTGCCTCCTCCTTCGTACCCCCTATCCTTACTGTCAGACTTACTCCCACATCAGGCTTCTCTAAAAATTCTTGACTCTGGTATGTGCGCGTGCATGTTCATTTATGGGAGTATAAGCATATAATAATAGAATTAAAAAAACATTTCCTCAGATGGAATTAATTTATGGCATTGGTATTATCCTTAGAGAATAAATAAAATAAAATACAATAGAAACAATCAAAACAATGACATTTTCAAAGGAGTAATGAATTAGTGCCATTGGAATTACCCTTTAAGAAGAAATAAAATAAAAATAATTCAAAATAAACATTGAATTTTTTGTGCACATAAATCATATTGAAATTGCACTTTCTTACGATGTGCAAAAAGAAGCATATAATAGTAGAATTTTCAGATGAAAAAAAGGTTGCTAAGAAGAATGAATTAGTGATATTTGTATTATAAGAAAAATAAAAGAAATAAAAAAAATAACAATTTTTTTCTAAGAAAGTATGAACTAATGGATTCGGTGTTACCCTTTTAGAAGAAAGAAAATGAAAATATAAAGCAAAACAAAATCATAATAATAAAATTATCTAAAAAACAAATTAATTATTGGCATTGGAATTACAAAAGAAATAAAATAGAAAAAACTAAAACAAATATTGACATAATTTACATATAAATTGCAATTTTTTACAATATGCTAGAACAAGCATCACAAAGATAAATTAGTTTTTTTAACAAGAATGAATTTATGGCATTGGTATTTCCTAAAATAAGAAGAAACATAAATAAAAACTAAAAAAACAAAAACATTGAAGTTTTTCTAAGGAAGAATGAATTAGTGACTTTGGTATTACACTTTCAAAAGAAAGAAAATGAAATAAACTAAAACAAATCATAATTATGAAATTTCAATGAAAGAATGAATTGGTTGCTTTAGTATTACCCTTTAAGAAGAAAGAAAATAAAAAGTAGAACTAATTAAGAAATTACATATAATTTACAAAGAAATTTTGATTTTTATAAGATGCAAGAATAATCATATAACACTAGAATTTCACAACAAATAAAGTTTTCTAAAATGGAATGACTTTAGTGGCATTGGTATTATCCTTAAAAGAAACAAAAACAAAAACTGAAACAAAATAATGAAGTTTCCTATGAATTAGTGACATTTGTATTATACTTTAAGAAGAAAGAAAACGGAGAAAATAAACCAAATAAGGGAAATGTTGCACAAAACTTACACAAAAATTACGTTTTTTTCATAATATGCAAAAACAAGCATATAATAGTGAAATTTCAAAAAAAATCATGAAAAGGAATGAACTAGTTGAATTGTTATCAACTTTAAAGAAGAAAGAAATGAAATAAAAACTAAAACATAACCAAAATATTGAACTTTTTTAAGGTAGAATAAACTAGTGGCATTGGTATTATCTTTTAAGAAGAAGAAAAAAGCTCGCACACAACTTTGCACTTTTTAATATGTAAGCAATAAACATGTAATAGTGTAGTTTTTACAAATAATTTATACAAATGTTTATGTAGTACTTGCGTGTACACTCACCCAACATTCCAATGAAAACCTACTCAGAAAAGGAAAATGATAAAAGTAAAAAGTCATATAAATGGAAGAATAAGAAGAAGCATGCCGAGAGTGGCGTTTTGGCACATGGGAGCATGCGCTCCTGATTTTTAAAATGTGTTTTAAACATATTTTGAAATGTCAAAAAATAAAATGAAAAAACTTGGCGCGTACATCTCGATATTGTACGTGCTCACAAAGTCATTTTGCGAAAAACCGACAACTTATGTGTCGCATGTGAAAAAGAAAAAATGCTTTTCACAAGACATCGTTTTGTCTTTTTTACACAAGCCACAAAAAAAATGCCAGTTTTCTCCGAAACTTGACGTGCACACATATATTGTCGAGATGTATGCGCTAAATTTTTATTTAATTTTTTTTTTCACAATTTAAAATATATTTTTCATGTGGCGGCCTATAAACAAGCAACAGGAAACACAAAGTGGGCTTCAGCCCAATAAGAAATCGACTGACCTAG